TGTGACCTTGAAATTGACCTTTGACCTACTTTTTATCATGAACTGAACTCTGCTAATTTCTTTCTCTTTTAACTTCAAACTTGACAGAGATAGGTCCATAGTTACTCTTGAACTTGAATAGGAAGTCATATACTGGCAATTTACTGTGACCTTGAAATTGACCCTTGACCTACCTTACGAAGATTTTAAATTTTATTGTACCATATATATTTTTTGCAATAGTTAAAAAATCTTGTTGATTGCATTTTTACAGCTTGTCAAGCACAAAACTGGTGGCTGTGTCCCTTATTTTGTGTATGTGGGGGTCTATACGAATGCGTTTGCTCCAGCTGGTGGTACAATATTTGGAGGCGGTATCGCCTCTCTGATCCTCTAGTTTATAACTGGATTGTCTTGGGTTTAATGCTCATTTAGGTGTAGACTAACTACCCAGATGTCAGTCACCAAGAAAAACCGATGGCTTCTTTTGAAAATTTTCATTTGCAGCACTTAATACTGTGAATAATTGATTTGATAGAATTACATCTAAGAACTGCCTTAATATCTGCATTTTTTATGTTTGATAAATAATTCAGATAACATAATTGGTATTTTTTGAGAAAATAAATTCCAAACCCACCTCAGATGTATTTGTCTAACGAGCAATGTTTTCAATAAAATTGGTGCTTAAAAACTATATTTCACTGATAGTCCAAGTATGTATATGCTACCTGGTTTGTCCTAAGATAGATGGCATGGCTTACAGTTGTTTGATTTTAGTAGTTGGGTATTTCTGTATATATAATGAAGAATTTCTCTAATAAACCACAAGTAATGAAAATCATAAATGTTGACTACAAGCTAAGAAAGCATATTTCCCTACTTGTTATTAGAAAAACTCATTATATGCTTAAACTGGTTCTGAACAGACGAACCCTTTTAGTTTGTTTCTATCAATTTTTTTTCCAAATTAGTTTGTGTAGAATTAATTTTTTTCATGCAGTCTTAGTTGACAGCATACATTTTGTTTTAATATGTTTAAAGCCTATATGAAAAAATCTAAAAAAACAAGAGGACAAACATTGTCCAGGTTAGTAAAGATAAATACTCTAGGAGATATTTATGATACTGATATCAAGATTATTAACAATTTCAGCTGGCACAGAGTCCGACTCAGAATGTAGTTCACTAGAACGCCCCAAGCAGGACATCTATACCAGGGTGCACAGAAAGCCTACCCCACATAAAAAGAAACACAGGCAGCAGAGGAAGAGTGACCCATCTTATGATAAAGCACCTCTCATACCAGCATATACCCCTGACAGGCTGAAACCCCCTGATGAATACAGAAAATGTAAGTGTAAGCTGTGCATTTATTTATCTATTTATTTTGCAGTGCAGACCAATGGATTTATTAGATTGCTCTGTGTGAATTTATCACTTAATTACTAGTTCATTTAATGAATTTGATTGAAATTATCAATTTGGAAAATTGGGAGTTAGAAACATTTAAGACTAGACTAGTGCAGCTTAATGATATCAAAAATTCAATTTGAATTAGATCTGATTGCAGCTCTGAATAAAAATGTCATACTGTATAAATGCAGATTAGAATGATATCTTTGGTGCAGTGTCTATCTTAATCATTTTGTATGATCTATTGTATAGCTTAGTATATACCATATGGGAATCATTCTCCCACATAGAAAAACAACAAAGGTCAAAAACAGTCATTACACTTAAGGTTTTATTTAGGGTTAAAAAGCTGAATTAAAGAAATAATCATAGTTGGGTTTGTGAAGGAGAAGGGTTTACTAAATGGCTATACAATAATCTTACAAATTTGTTTGAATTGTAGAATAATCTTCAGTAGTCTCCACAGAGTTTACTAACCCCATTTACCAATCTTTACTTTCTAGAATATTTTGTTCTTAAAATTGTACTAAAATGTGGTGTTTGCTGACCTTTCTCTTAATCTGTGAATTCTTATCCTCGTGTGGATTTGTCATTAGGAAAATTGTACAAGTTGGTATACGTTCATAAAATTATGATTGGTCAATTTTCATTGGTCCAATGAAATCCTCTGTGGAGAATTTTGATTGGTTGATTAGCAGTAGCTTGTAGCGCGGCTTCCTCTCTTCCTGCAGCTGTGCAGCACTCGGCCTCGGAGGGCAGTGAGGGCACAGGAGATGAGTTACAAAACGGTAAAAAACAAAGGAAGAGACGATCCCTGAAGATCAAGAAAAAGAAAGCTGGTAATGACTTGGTCCCTCTTCTTGCTAGCAGCCCACCAACAGAAGATGTTTGGTGTAAGTAGACCCCAAAGTTGGGTGCTTGCTTGACATAGGATGTGGTGATAGGAGAATGAAGAGATTTAGAGACATATACTCACTGGCAGAGTACTTCTGTAGAGATCATATTGCTGATCATATAGCCTCAAATTGCCTTGCTGTCAGCCCATTATTAAAAATGTATACAGAGTTATTAGTACGTTTCTGGCCATGGGTCCCCCCTCATCCATCCCCCCTCACCTGCCCCCATGTATGAAATTTATTTGGTATTTAGATATTCCTCGGAAGATCTAATTTTTTTGTTTTTATTGAGTTGTTTTTTTAATTGGAGTGCCCTGTGTAAAACTGACCTCAAAATGTATAATGATGACCTGTTTCTGTTGCGTCATGATATTATTTTTACTTTACCCACTGGTTGCCCATGTGTAGGTCTTTAGCTGTTACAGTGGTGGAATTTTTATTTTGGGTTTCTGCTCTAATTATGTTTTATGTGATTTGGTTTCTTTTCGTAACTGGTTTGATGAATGACCTGAAACTAATAATTTTTAACAGCACTTGTAACATTCCATTGATAAATTTCCAGCATATTATACTTTTAAATTAAATTTTATTCCAGTACGGAATGATTCAGTGGCAGATGAGAATCCATATGAAGACGTTAAACCTGACTCAAAGGTAAGACGATTTTATATTTTATCTTGAATTATAATCAATGAACTTTTGCTCTTTAAAAAAGGAACAGATATTCAGACCAAAATTTCTTACTGAATAAAAATTATATATCTAGTAAGGCTGGAGGAGTTTTATAAGCTTAGCTGATTAATTGCTTTAACAGCTACGTTAGACTTCCAGACTACTGTTTGGCAAGTGGATGGGTCAATACTGTGATGCAATTTAACTACTACTATCCCCATAAAAAGTTCTGTCTTGTTTTAAATGATTAAATGATTAAATGCTGATTTTCAATTTGGTACAGCTTCCTTTCTCTGGTGATGAGCCTTGCAGAGAGGAGCTAGGAGACAGTGGGAGGTGGAAACCCTTCAACTTGAAGGTGCTAAGAAGGCAGGATGACCCTGAAAAAATGAGGAGGAAGGAAGAGAAGAAAGCGCTGGATGAGGAAAAACGGAGAAAGAAAGAAGAGGTAGTATGTCTATTTGAGCAATGGTTTTCATGTTATGTTTATTTTTAGTGGCAATTGATATTTTTATATTTGTTTGAACCAACTTGGTAAGATCATCTTAAGACCTTGGATTCATATTAGTGTCTCAAAATAATATTTTGTGTATAAGCTTCTCAAGTGCTTAAATGAAACTGCAATGCTACTAGTTACAAAGGTTCACTTCATATATAACAATTAAATTTTTTTTCATAGGAGAGGAAAAAATCAAAATCTGTTGGGCGGTCCTTTAGAAGAAGCAAAAAGAAACCCAAGAATGCCCCAGGCAGTGAGATCACCACTAAAATGTCTCTAGATGACTATGTGCAAAAAGAACAACGCCTCATCCCAGTTTTTGTAGAGAAATGCATCATGCAGATAGAAGAGGAAGGCTTGACAGCCGAGGGCATCTACAGAGTGCCTGGGAACCGAGCCCATGTTGATTTACTGCTTGAAAAGTTCAAAGAAGGTGAGAATCCCATGGTGTTTTTTCTTAACTGGTTGATTTTTGGTGCAAATTTGTTTTTATGGTGCCCCTTTACCTTGTCAATCTGTTTCTTTCATCAAGGGGATTTGTTTTGGCTTCTAAAGACTTTTAGCAGTGAATTTTGCTGAACTTGACAAACAGTTTTCTGGGCAAGAATGGTGGTCTGGGTCTGCCTTGTGAAGCTTAGAAATTTAGTTGAGGGGAAAAAAGAGGACGATTGCTGATGATAGAATGATGGAAAGCATATCAGTTTTGTTATGTTACATGTTTCATCTCATTAGGCAATAATATTTTTGAATTTTATGGGCAATTTTCATTATGGTGGAAATACTTTTTTTCTGTGTGAATGAATTTCCAGATCCCAATATAGACCTCAATGCCTTGGACATTCCCGTGAATGCAGTGGCCACGGCTCTGAAAGGTTTCTTCAGTGATCTCCATGACCCTCTCATACCCAGCAAACTTTATGATGAGCTCATACATGCAGCAGGTAACATAGTAAAAAATTTCATTAGTTGGGTTATATGCTCAGTTTTTATATTAGACACTTCATAATGACAGCTAAGATCACAGGTATTTGTACTTTAACGTTTTCGTGTCTCTGAAGTCACTTACTTCAGGTAATGAGGCTACAGGTGTTATTCTCACTGGTAAGATAGCATGTAACTGTATTTTTTTTCCAGGGCCTGATTATTTTCCAGTTTTATATTTTTTCAAGAATTTTCAAATTTTTATGGGGGATTTTGGTGGAGATCATTTTTTGTTTTCTTTTTCTCCATTTCTGGTTAGTTGTGATAAATGAAAAGAGTTGATTTTGTCCTTAAACCAATGCATCTATACTTATTCAAGAATGGTACAGTGTAAAATGACATGGTGGAAGTTGTATACATAGATTTAGGGTGGGCGGAAGAATGGAAGGAAGAGAAAAAAGAGAATTTAACGTGGAAAAATTGGGTGTGATGAATCATTTGAACAAAGGACTTGATTGACATTTTGGTAGAATATTTATCCCATTACCAAGCATTGTTATATGTTTGATGAAAACCATGATAGAAAAAAATGTGCTTGTCCCTAAATAAAGCTTTGTGTCATCTAGGCATTAAAATAATCAGAAGTACAATCATAGAGAAAAAAATTAAGTTAGAAAAGTTATTATTTA